AAGGTAAGTGAGTGTGTTCATAAGCTTTTTACCATTATTTGTATGTCAGAGTACTTTGCTTTAGTGGTGGATTCTGAGTGATGTGTGTGCACTTTTGTTTGAACTTGTCAAACTGAATATTCAAAAGGGTAATTTTCCAGTGCCTTTTTGTTTTTTAGTTTGTTCCCTCAACCCCCTTTTCCTCATATGGAGATGTGGGAATATCAAAATTTTTGACTATGATGATAAAGCTACATGAATTAAGTAAATTGGAAATATTACTGGCCTTAGAGAAATGCTGCAACCTTATATAGGATTGTAGATTTTGATGTGGCTGTAATCTGGCATTTTTAACCTTCCCCCGACCCTGCGGAACGCGGGATGCTTTGTGCATCGGGCTGCCCTTTATCTATTCAAGTAATAGGCAGAATTGAAATTTGTGTAGATTAGTTTCTAAAGTTGGTGTTTCTTTTCATCCAGTGGTGTTAAGATTAAGGATCATCAGTAGCATTTTGGTCAGATCATGGAATTTGTTCCCTCATTTAATGTTCACTTGTTCTATTTCTGCAACATGTTCTGTCTGTTGTGCATCAGTTCCTCTTGAACCTATCAAAAGTTCTTGATGCAGGTTTTATGCAATAGTTTTTGAGAAGTTATTTTCTCTGTAGGTTAGCAAAACTCTGGTTCTGTTGTTTTTACCTATTGTTTATGCCAGTATTTTTTTTGCAGTCGAATGTTTGGTTTATTCCGAGAGGGTGTAGTTTTTCAACTCAAGCTGCATTGGATCTTTCTACTGGTGGAGTAATTGATGTACCTTTGGCGCAAACTGGTGAAGGCATTGCTGAATGTGAACTTCTCAAATGGTTTGTTCAGGAGGTTAGTGAATGTCTCTTGTTAATATAATAGGGTATTTCACACCATACTTTTTCTCCTTTAGTAAATGATTTTCAGCTATGTTACTAAAAACATGCAATTGGACTCCCAACTGCTTGGCTTGATTTAAAATTTAAACTTGATGTGAGGAATTTGAAGCCAATTATACCTTGAAGTAGAATTTACATACATCTCTAGGCCCATACTCGTTTAACAAACTGCAATTGATGTTTAGCTCCTCATGATTTTGGCCATTGCCCTGTTGGTCCTTGTAATCTTCTCTTATTAGAAGTTAGCAAGTACTACCCACTGTTTTCATTTGCGATTTGGTCATACAAGTTAGTATATGCTGGATTCTTGTTTAAAAGAATTCTCTTAGGCTTTAATGCTCTGCCCATTTTTTTTAATCTATAATTTTGTGGGATGAGTTAAGTATGTTGGGTTCTTGTTTTAAGAGATTTCGATACTCCTCTATTCACTTATCGATCAGGATTTCAACAGCATAGTATTCCAGCATAAAAACATCTGTTTTTGTATGCAAAAATGACTTGGGAGTACCTGCTTCTTCCCCCTCCTGTCTCTCTGCCTTTTATCGCTTCTCCTATCTCCTCTTGTTGGATTGCTGACTTTGTGCTGATTAGTTCATAATTACTAGTCTATAAAGCATTTTATATAATACATTCTGATGATTTTCTTTTTTTGTTTTTGGGCAGGGGGACCAGGTTGAAGAATTTCAACCTCTTTGTGAAGTTCAGAGTGACAAGGCAACAATTGAAATAACAAGTCGTTACAAAGGAAAAATTTCTCATATTGTTCATGTTCCCGGCAGCATTGTAAAGGTACAACACACATAATGTGTTCACTGTGTACCAACCACACTGAAATTCTTCTGGTATTTAATCTTTCTGCCTTGAGGATTTGGTTGTTTAACTGCACTTTAATGATGAGATCAGGAAGTAGTTGGAGATGTTAATCTCATAGTGGGAATTTCATGACCAAATTCTGTTTTTACACTTTCAAATAGTTTTTTTTAAAAAAGAATGATAACTTCCATCCAGTTTGAAGATATCCTCAAATGTTTGAGCAAAGAAGATGGAGAATAGGCTCACTTTTAAAAGATCAGCTACATAGAAAACTACTTTTTATGTGTGGTGTGCTTTTGGAACTATGCTTGTAAGAAAAATTGAGCAAACATGTCGTTCATAAGAAGAAATGAGCCCTTTTTGCATTATATCATCTTCTCTACCAAATTTTGTAGGTTGGGGAAACACTTTTGAAGATTGCCGTTGATGAAATTCCTGAGCCTACTGAGACTTCTGATGCTTCAGAAAAGATGACATCACTGGACTCTGATTTTATTGGCTCAAGTGATATCAGCTCCGTGCCTGAAAAATCCAAGATTGATGGAGTGTCATCTACACCTGCTGTCCGCAATCTTGCAAAGCAGTATGGTTTAGACATAAATGATGTGCCTGGAACTGGTAAAGATGGAAGGATACTTAAAGAGGATGTTACAAATTATGCAATGCAAAAAGGACTAATTAATGAAGCACTAGCATGTGCACAACAAAAACATTCAGAGGTTTCATCTCTCATTGGAGCGGGATATGAAGATAAGACACTTCAGCTAAGGTTAGTTACTACCATAAAGAGAACTCAAACTCACTAGCTCACTATACTGTTTCATACGTTACTCGAAACTTCTGAATGCAGATGGGGCATAGTTTTTCATTAGTTAGAAACATTCTTTTTTGTTGATAGAAAGCGTGTTCTTCGAACAAGTTTCTTCTAGTGTGTTGTAAAATGCACGGACAATTTGTGCCGGAAAAATTGAGATTGATATTCCTTTACTAGGGAGGTATTGCATTCTATTTTCTACTCACAGTTTGCTATTGGCTCCTAAACTCTACAGGGGATATCAGCGTTCCATGGTTAAGTCAATGACATTAGCTGCGAAAATTCCACATTTTTATTATGTAGAAGAGATGAAATGTGATGCAGTTGTGGAGCTGAAAAAATCATTCCAGAATGAGAATTCTGATCCGGAGATCAAGCACACTTTCCTTCCGGTCCTGATAAAATCACTATCAATGGCTTTAACTACTCATCCCATGCTAAATAGTCGCTTCAATGAGGAATCCTATGAGGTCATCCTAAAAGGTATATCAAATGCAAAATTCTGAATTTCCGATTTCAAATGTTCCCGTGCTCATAGACGTAGTAAAAATAGCTCGCTTTACATGATTTTGCATTATAAGCTGCTACAATATTTTCTTTTCGTCATTCACGCATTCTTCGTCCCTATTAATGATAATTTTTTCTTTCCATGATCTAGGGTCCCACAACATTGGAATAGCAATGGCTACTCCAAATGGTTTGGTTGTTCCAAACATAAAAAATGTTCAGTCTCTCTCAATCTTGGAGGTCAGTTGGCATCTGTTACCCCAGTAACTTCAAGTTTTGCCATAGTCTACTCTGTACTGAATTGACATTTCTATATATTCTTTTTTCCCCTCATATAATTACATCTCTACATCACTTGTTATAGTCTATTAAGCGCATTTTTTTAATTAAATCCTAGTTTGACATGACAATATTAAGACACTGTTAAGAGGAGCATCTGACATATTTAAACTTGAGTGGAGGAAGATATTGGAGGCTGAAATTATTAATAAAAAAGGTTTAAGAATTGTAGAAGTTCCCGGTTATTCTGTGGATTCTTCTGTTCGCGTATTACTTTAATGTCGTATGATGTGGGTACAGCCTTATCCTTTATGAGTGTGTAAATTATTATAGAAAATCAAGAAATAGAAAGAATGTTTAGTTTGGGCTGAACAATATAGAGAAGTTGTTAAGAGATATTTTGGAGGAATTGATAAAGGAGGATCTGATGGCAGTAAGCGTGGCCAGTTTATTTGTACTTTTATGTATTATCCTTGAATCAATTTGGTTTTACGTGTTCAAAATTGCAATTCCTCTCATTTGAGTGTTTAAGCCAGAGAATAAGGTTACGATTAGACATTTTGGTCCTGGTGGAAATTTTGCTCAGCTCAAAATGCAAAAGGTTACAATTCCTCTGTGTGCATTTTCTGTACTGTCTTACCATAGTGCGAAAGGAGGTTGAGAAGACTTTTGGCTATGTAATCTCAAAACATGACTTTTCCCTCTCTACCTCCCCTTCCCCCCTCCCCTCAGTGATGAGTACTATTTCTCATAGTCCAAGATCAGTTCCTTTTTTTCTTTTCTGTGTATGTATACACTACTAAATGCATGTCTTTGCTTCCTTTTGAGCGGAGTTGTTAACTGGATATATTTTTGTGCTACAGATAACAAAGGAGCTATCACGGCTACAGAAGTTGGCTAAGATAAACAAGCTTAGCCCTGATGATATATCAGGGTCAACTATTACTCTAAGCAATATTGGAGGAATTGGTGGAAAGTTTGGTTCCCCGCTTATAAATTCACCTGAAGTTGCCATCATAGGAATAGGACGGATTCAGAAAATTGCACAGTTTACTGAAGATGGGGATGTGTATCCTGCATCAATCATGACGGTATGTTAATTGTCGTGCAATGCATCAAAACGAGACGTTTTCGTTTCAGTATCTCATATGGGATGTTTCCGTTTTTTCAGATAAATATAGGTGCAGATCATAGAGTTCTTGATGGAGCAACTGTTGCAAGGTTCTGCAATGACTGGAAAAAATTTGTGGAAAAGCCAGACCTCCTGCTGTTGCATACAAGATGAATTCTCGTCTCCGGAAGTTGATCGGAAAGAATGTAAGTCTAGTCTAAGCTAAAGGCTCATATTGTTGGTGCCTTCCTTCTCATTGTTGGTGCAAAGATCAATTGGAGCTTATAGGTGTCCTGAAAGATAGAATCACTAATCTAATAAACCATAGTGTTAGCATTCAATGCAACCAAGTTATTCTCTATATAGCTTTTGCAACATTTCCCACATTTCTAATTTTTTGTTTTCATTTGTGGTAGTCAGCTTCCTCTTCTATAAAAATGTTATAGACCTGCAAACATTGTTCAAGTTCAACGAAAGTTTCTTACTAGTAAATCCGTTGCATAAGAGGGACATGTCATTGTTGAAAAGAATGCTCTTGGGAAAAAAAAAACGGGGCGTAAAAAACAGTTGTTAGATTTCACTAAAAAGTATTCTACTCTCAACGTAATAATGTTAAAGAGGCATGGTTATTGTTTGAAGTGGATTTTGGCTCTTTCAGCTTGACTACGACTGATTCTGAGTTCTTAGTAGCCAGACAACTTGTGGGAGTGTGTTCAATTGAGAACTTGGCAGGGGCAAAATGCGCAAACCATATACTTCAGGGTTGGCTAAGGGTCAAAAGTTTTAAAAGAGCCAGAGTAAAAACGAAAGAGCGAGCTATTAACTTGTGTATATTGCAAAGTTCTTTAAGTTGTAGACAAGAATGGATCAAGTAGATCTTTTAGTTTTTGTTTTAGCTGTTTTTCCCATTTGGCTTTGAATTAGCAAAGCATCCCAAGAGTCTCTTTAACTTTTCCCTTAACTTGAATGTTAACAAAGGTTAGTAACCTCTCCATGGAGTATATAAGAATTTGGGTAGACAAGCAATATATGAAATTACTTTTAAAGAAATCAGTTAAGAGAAATTTAGAAGGGGAGTTTTGGAGCAACACTAGAGTTCTTTCCGTGTGACCTATAAGTCACGGGTTCGAGTTGTGTAATCAGCCACTGGTGCTTACATTAGACTAGACTGCCTACATCACACCCCCTTGGGGTGCAACCTTTCCTCGGATCCTGCGTAAATGGAAGATGCTTCGTACACCGGGCTGTCCTTTTTTTAAGTCGAGAAATTTAGACACTTTTGGAAGGGTATTTCAGGTATCAAAAGGTTCATCACTTTAACATAGCTATGTCCTTAAAACATTTACACATTCACTAGAGGGCTTAAGCAATCAAATGAGAAAATAAGACACTTGAGAGAGTGTCAGCAACATCAACAGATATAAGTCACATCCAATCCAAAGCAGTACTAAACACATGATGATATAATAACTACTGAACTTAGCTTTACTGTCTATCTTTAATCAGAACTTTATGATCAGATGGGTCCAAGGTGATCACTCTCCAAGCTCACAAGTGCTAGTAATTCCTTCCCCTCCTCCTTATACTCTGTTCCAATCACAATGCAACGCACCACAGTACCTTTCTCAATTCTTGACATCTTCTCATTCATAAATATGGGATTTTCTCCTTGCACATACTTATAATCCGACATCATCTTATTAGATAGGTATATATTATCAACGGGGCCACATTTCAAAAAGACGCCGTGCTTCAAGATCTTATGAACAACCCCTTCCAAGATCTCTCCGCGAAACATCTTGAAAGTAATGCAGCTGAATTCCACAGGGAAAAGCACATCACCAGCCATCTGTTCTCGAACTTTTCCTTCTCCAATCTTCTCCAGTGCAGTGACTGCTAAAAAGTAACCAAGATTCTTTGAGGCCTTCTTGGAAGCAAAGTCTTTCAAAAGGCGAATGACAATCACCTTCTGAAGTGTTAAACCTTCAACGTCAAGGTTCTCAGCAGGGATTATTACGTTCCATGATAAGCGAGATTTCAGAAACATTTTCAAATGACCTGTCACAAATCAAAACATATTGAGCAATGGTCAATGAAGATATGGGGCTACGCTCACTTCGTATACATCCTAAGAATAAACAACAACAACAACAACAACAACAACAGACTCAGTATAGTCCTACAAATGGGGTTCTTACTCCTAACTTGTGAAGGTAGAGAGGCTGTTTCCGAGAGACTCTGCTCAAGAAAAGCATAATCACAGCAGTCGTGAAAAGGAAATACAACAGAGAAGAATCCATGTAAAGAGAAACAGTAACCACAGCTAGTAGTATACATGCTAAGAACGGAACATCAAAATACTAAGGATTTACAAGCTATATGTTCCTAACTCTTAGCATTGACATCTTTTCCTCAAGTTAGTTGCAAAAGAATGGCTTGAAACATCACAGAAAAGCCCAGGAGATCACACAAATTCACTCCCAGGTGTTACAGTTTATCACCTAATACAAGAATGATGTTTGACTATAATAAGGGGTCGTTTGGTTGTTGATTAGAGTTATGCAGGTATTAGTTATACATGTATTAGTTATGCATGAATAAATAATAATTATGCAGGTATTAGTTATATATGGATTAGTTACGCATGGATTAATTTTTTTGAATATTTGGTTTGTTGTATTAGAAATTGATATACATTATATAAATTTTAAAGTAAAATACTTATTTACTGATTTTGTCGCTAATAGGTTGAGAAGAGGAAGAGCCTAGCTGTGAGGCATCAGTATCTCCATGCTTGTTCTCCAAAGGGTTTGATACAAATCAATCTATAGAAGGAAACCTTTATGTGTAAAATGATAGGGGTAAATTTGTCATTTCAATATTTTATCCATGTATTACTAATACATATATTAGTTATTCCATCTTCTACCCCGCATAAAATAATACACAGACTGACTCATAACTTATACATATATTATTTATGTAGAATTATAAAATGACAACCAAACATGGTATTAGTTATGCTGGATTTTGTACAAAATAACTAATGGCTATCAAATACTGTAAGTTATGTTGCCCCCAATACATGGATAACTTTTCTCCTAACCAGCTACCAAACGACCACGAAGTGTATAAGGTAGGAGGCACAAAGAGGATAGAAGAGGGAGATAAACATAAACCATAATATATAGTCATATTCTGAAAGACTCCATTCTTATAAGTTATAAGATAATATTACAAAGGGTGCTTTTATAGGTGCTAATAGTCTTTAAACATATTTCTTCAGACCTCTTTCATGGTGCTATGAACCTAGCCACATTGATAATATAGAAATCATACCTAAATAATGCAAAATCATGCACCTAAGATAACTAAAAGACATATGAATCTAGACATTTGAACATTTAAGCTTACTATTCCCAACAAATGCAGCAATCAGCTATTGCAACTGCTACCATCCCTTCATCTCTAATAAGAGTATTTCAACCATTTTCTTTTCTGAAGATAATAATTCAAAATGAATATCAGAAATAATAGCAACCTTTTTTCAGCTAAACAAATATATTTCGGTCATTAACATAAGTGAAACATGTGTAATCGTGGAAAGATGGGGATTCGAACCCTCAGTAAAAAGTAAAAACAAAAGCGTATGTGTAGCAATTAGAGGTGTACATGGACCGGGTTGGTTCGGTTTTTATCAAAACCAAACCAAACCAACTATATTGGTTTGGATTGGTTCGGTTTTGTTGGGGTTTTCGGGGTTTTTTGTTACTTAAATATTATTTTAATCTTACTTTGTTAAATTTTTGATAAGTAAATATATGTTTAATAAAAATATAAAAAATTGACAAACATATTATCTATTAAAATATTCTTATGGGAGAATTTTCTTAGTAACGCATAATAGTTATTTTTTTAGTTATCGGACAATAATGTTTTATTGATGTACACTTTCAAGGTTAACCAAATTTAGTAATTAAATATAAAAATCAATATGATACCTAAATAATAATAGTCACTTCACATTCGAAAAAGATATAAGAATTTAATAGATCTTAACATATGATATGAATATGGAAGAACAAAGAGATTGACGCATTTCAGTAATACTGGATGAGAAAGTGATCATACAACCCATTATTTAAGGTTAATAAATATGGAGCACTTCATATACTATTAAATATTATATCCCGCAAGAGAATCCCCAATATTTCTAGACATTTTTTAAAGAAAATTCTATATAAAATCGTAAAAGTATATACAAAAATTATATATTTATATGTCGGTTTGGTTCGGGTTTTTTTACTCAATACCAAACCTAATTGAGTTTTTTAATCGGTTTGGTTTGACTTTTCGGTTTGGTGCGGTTTTCCAGTTCAGTTTGTACACTATAATAGCAATTCCAAAGGTTAGTATAAAAACATAGTAATAATAGCAATTCCAAAGGTTAGTATAAAAACATAGTTATAACAGCGAAAACAATACCTTCCCATCCTTCTCCCTACGCTTATCATGTTGAAAGCAGCTCAACTTTGAATTTATCAAATGCCCTTATTTTAATTAGCTTCCTAAATTAGTAACATTTTCCGCAATTCAATCAAAGTAAGTGCGTCTGGTATGAAGGAAAACACTCTCCAGCACCAAAAGGTATTAGGCTAATGATCAATAAATTAGGTTGAGAATCATAAGGTCTCAGGTTTAGATTCCGGGACAAAAAACATTAGGTGTAATTTCTTTCCATCTGTCCAAGTTTTGGTGGACAGAGTTACCTAGTACTTGTGTTGATAGTAGGTAGTAGATACCCCGTTAAATTAGTCTAGGTACACACAAGCTCGCCTAGACACCACAGCTATTAAAAAAAAAATCAAAAAAAAGAAGAAAGAATTTGTCTCACTATCCAACAATCTAACATTTAAAAACCCTTTCAAATAGACTATTGAAGAAGACCATACACTAAGAAAGTCATTTTTCCCTTTGAATGAATAAGTAGAAGATGTTCTCCATCGTACCAAATACATGGTTTTGATGAAAACAATAACAGCTTCAAAAAGGGAAAACTAAGAAACACAATGGTAACAAGCACAAGTACAAAAAAGCAAGAAGAAAGGTCATATCAGTTAATACTGTAAAATATTTAAATGGTGTCAAACATAAAAGAGCAGTTTGCTTTAGTCTTCAAAAGGGTGTCCAACAGAGGAAAGAAGCTTCACGCTATTGTGGGCAATAGCATTGTATTATCGATGCTAACAAATAAAAAAAACAACTTGAAAGAAAGTAACCATTAGATAAAATGCACAAGAAAAAAAAGAGAAGAGATTCTGGTCGCTCTTTGAAAGGAGGAGGGAAAGGACTAACCTTTGCTGGACGGAGTGGCACTGTGGGAGTCGTGAGCTGTTACTAGTGTGTTTGCTGCTACTTTATTTTATATTTGGCAATCCAAACGGAAAACTTCCATAATTGGAAATTAACGGAACTTTGAGTTAAGTATCAAAAGTAGCATCCGTTTCGTTTCTCTAGCAGTGGAATAATACTAGTACTAGTCCTTCCTTACATGCAAATGTTGTGTCTACAGATTACAGAGTGGTATTTACTTCTTCTTTTTTTCTTTTTTTGTGTCAACAAAAATAACTTACTGTATGTGTTATAAGGAGTATTAAATAGTAAGCATCAGCATATTTCGATTTTCTTCTCTAAAGGTGTGCTTGAGCAGAGAGTAGTAATCTGCAATAATTTTATGTTATATTTGGTATGAGTGTTTCTGTAGTTTGAAAATTCGATGTTTCTTTTTTTTGGTTTAGACACAAAAATAATCATCTAACATACACAAAATCAATTCTTTCAAAATCTAATTCAAACATATTGTTCTTTGAAAAATATGACTAAAATAAAATTTTAACTAAAAGTATATTAAATCTAAACGCCATAATGTCAAAAAGGCATGTTTATTGTTTGAAGTATTTTTAGCTGTTTCAGCTCGTCGGCAGCAAAATGCACAAACCATGTACTTCAGTTTTTTTTAAATCACCGTTCCATTT